TTATTAATCTATCATTCACATGCACATAGATACATCTAGTTCAGGTAATAAACATCTAACAAGTCATATTAGCAAATAATCATTTCATATTCTAGTATATCTATTACACAACACATACATGTTAGTCCCATACCCTAGTTTGGTCTGGATGAACGACTCTGATACCAAAATTGTAACGCCTTATATTTCTTTCCTCAATATAAGATAAATTTTCATAAAAATTTAAAAATAAGATAAATTTTCATAAAAATTTAAATGGTAAAGTAAATTTTCTTTCAAAAACTCTCTAATAAGAAAGAGACATTGAAATGATATAAGATTCATATAAGTACTTTAGAAAAACAAAGATTCTAAAATTTTCATCAGCAACAAAAAGAAATAGTAGTTTTACAACTATTTTAAAAGAATGCTATAGAACTAAAAATATCCATTGCATAACTCAAAATAACTAAATCCTATAGCAGTTCTCATTCATCCATGCACTGTGAGCCTGGTACTATTCGTCCGTATTTCCTAAAAATGTTGTGTAAGGGTGAGTCTCTACCCTACCACTCATACATCACACATATTCATCACAAAACACATCTTATCATGATTAAAGAAAACATCATGGCGTTACATATCACAGTGTCATATAAATCATGTTCTCATCTCAACACATATGATATTCCACAGATTCACAATTTCTTTTACTTTTATCCGTGCTTACCGCGCCTTATGGCCACAGTTATCCAATGCCTCTATCCCGAGGTCTTACACATCCATGTAAATAGTTGCCGGATAGCCCAATGCAATACGGATACAACGCATGCAATAAACGGCCCCTTAGCAAAGGTAATGGTCAGGAGTCAAGTCGGGAAACGAGTGTGTGGCCATGTGGTGCATTCAAACATAATATTCCGTGCACAATCCCGAATGTCACTCACCACCCTACATTTTCCCAAGATATCCCATATCGTCTCGATCTTCCACTCCCCCAGTGTATCTCTGTAACTATTTACATCATATCCTTTTTCCATCTTATACTCTTTCAAGTATATTCACATGTTCACATATGTCATTTCTCATGTTCACACAAATACACATTTTCTGCTTCTACTTTCAAACTTGTCTCCCTTAGTGAATTGATTTTGTGCAAAGCAAAGTGATCCAAACACCCTTAGATGCTCATAGCTAGGTGATTTTCCATGAATCATTTCATAAGGAGTTTTACCTTGAAGAACAGAAGAAGGTGTAAGATTGATCAAATGCCCCGTAGTGAGAACACATTCTCCCCAAAACCAAATGGGCAAATTTCCTTGAAATCGTAATGCTCGAGCCACATTAAGGATGTGTCTATGTTTTCTTTCTACCCTTCCATTTTGTTAAGGCGTGCCGACGCATGAGGTTTGGTGAATGATCCCATGTTGAGAAAAATATGAGTGTAAACACATAAATTCAGTGCCATTGTCACTTCTGACTTTCTTAACATGTTTGTTGTATTGTCTTTTAATGAGGGCAAAAAAATTTATAAGAGTGTTTGATACTTCCTTCTTTTCACGCAACAAATATATCCACATCGCTCGAGAATAATCATCCACGATTGTTAGAAAATACGAGGCTCCACAAGATGAGGAGGTTCTATAAGGCCCTCATAAATCACAATGGATCAAGTCAAAAATGGTTGTGGCATGATAATTGCTCAAAGGAAACTTTTCTTTTGTTTGTTTTGATCTTTGACACACCTCACACATCTTATTCATATGTTCAACTGTAGAATCATGGTTTACACCAGCAATCATTTGAATTACTTTATTTGAAGGATGCCCCATTCTCTTGTGCCAAAGGTCGAATTGATTATCCATGCTTATCTGATATGCTTTTGTTGTGTGAATCCCTTGAAATAAATACAGCCCATTTTTCCGCTCACCCGCTCCAATCATCATCCTCGATGTGAGGTCCTGCATTGCACAAAGCTTATTAGTGAACAATACTGAACAATTCATGTCATTAGTTAATTGAGATACTGAGATTAAATTGCATCGTAATTGTGGCACATATAACATATTCTGTAATTTAAGCCCCCCTCAAGGGTCACTGTTCCTACTTTTTCAGCAAGAACTTCCTCTCCATTAGGCAGTCCTACTGCACATGCTGCAACTTTGCGTTGCTGTCTCAAATACTTTGAGCTTCTTGTCATGTGATTAGAGGCTCCACTGTCCACAATCCATATATCACAAGCTTCTTTACCTGTCATCTTTTCTATCTTATTTCCTTTGCCAGTGTTGAGCATTTCAATCAATGTCTGCCACTGCTCATTGCTGAGCCCAGTTAAAGCATTGTGCGATTCATTTGAATCATTCATGACCTGCGCTGTATTTGCACGCGTAGTCCCAATTTTCCCACGTCCACCTGGTTTCTGAGGAGCTCGGTTGCTTGTTCCCTCATTGCGGGGTCGATCACCCCACCATTCAGGATACCCATTTAGTTGAAAGCATCCCTTGATATCATGCCCAGATCTGCCACAATGTGAGCATGTGATTTGTTTTGCTTCAATTTTTGCTTTGCTTTTGTACGTTGTTTGCACCGAGAGCCCCATCACTCCTCCTCTTTCTTCCTTCGCCCTAGTAATCAGCTTCATCCTTTCTTCTTGCACCAAGGTGGCATACACCTTGTTAATAGAAGGAAGTGGATCTGTAGCTAGAATGTTTGATCGTACAGTTCCATATTTGACATCATCCAAACCCATCAGGAACTGATGGACTTTTTCTTCCTCCTTTTTCTTTTCCAGTTGCAGGCTAATGCCACACCTACAACCTCCGCAGGTGCATGTCGGGATTTGCTCATAGTTGGCCAGTTCATCCCATATAGTCTTCAATTTTCCATAGTACGTGACCATGGTTGTCCCTTCTTGTTTGCATTCCGCCAATTCAGCCTTTAACTGTTGAATTCGTGGTCCATTGACCATGGAAAATCGCTCTTTTATGTCCTCCCACAGGTCTTTTGCATTCTCTGCATACGAGATGGTAGAACGAAGGCTTGGCTCCACTGTGTTTAATATCCAGGAGACCAATATGGACTGCACAGTCCACCAATCTTCAATTTCAGGTGTATCTTTTTGTGGTTTTTCATGGGTTCCATCAAGGAACCCCCACTTTCTTCGGGCTCGCAGTGACACCTTCACAGCACGCGCCCACTCCTCATAGTTTTCTCCACGCAACTGTACCTACGTAATTACACTCCCTGGATTGTCATTAGCACCCAAGTCATAGGGTGATGGGCCTTTCTTGGGTTCAGCCTTGTGATTCCTCATATTGTCCTCTGTCTGAGGTATTGCTTCTTCTTCTGCCATTTTAGCAGCTGTAATCTGTCTGTTCGTGATGTCTGTCAGAGCTTGGTTATTCCAAGCTCTGATACCATGCTAAAAGGAATGTGTATTTCTGTTGTGTTTTGTTGAGAGAGATGATACATGTATTTATACATATCATACGCAAAAACAACTTCTATGCCTGCCAAAAACAGCAACTAGCTAAAAAAGGAAAAAAACAGATATCAGTACAGACATCAGTTCCTAAGATTATGCTAACAATATGCTAATAGCTAATAAAGGATCAATTACAATCAATCTAAATTATACATCCTTGATCTCTTGCAGATACGGCTGGATATGCTTCATATGTGGACATGATTGAGCCGAATATTTCTCATTACATTGTTTGTCACTTTTATTGAGTTATACTTTTCATATCTTATGAATTATTGCATAATAATGCTTTGAATTTATTCTGAAATTTTTTTGGTGTACATTCCTTTAAATATTGTTCATTTCATTAATTCTTGAACATTATTTGAATAGTGATATAATTTATTTTTTTTGGTGGTGTGCTTTACCTTGCTGAGAACTTTCCTCCTTGTCTAAATTCTAATTGAATCTTTTCTCTCATGAACAAATTCTACTTGCTAGACTCTCCTGTATCTCTTGCACAGAGTTTAACAGTCATTTTTTTAGAAGGACTTTAAACTGTTTTGACTCACCATGAGAGTACAATTTTATTTTTTTTTGTAATGAGCAGCATGTACACACTATATTAAATTTTCTCTTTTATATGCCCTTTACATTGTCAAATATCATATCACCTTATGGCTGTCATATTCTGAATCCATTTTGCGAATTATACTGAGTGACCAAATTCTCATTCTGAATTTTTAGGATTCATCATTCTTTAGTTGGATAATTTTGTCTCTGCAAGTATTTCTCTTGGTTTATGCAATGCTGTCAAATTCTTATTGTTGAGTGCTCAAAATTTTGGTTCATACATAGTGGACATATGCAATTTTAATTCTTTTTACTGCACAAAATTCCATCTTTCCATAATTTCAATTTTAATGCAATTCAATTTTCTTTTTACAACACTTGAATGCACAATTGTTTTACTTTCTGGGTGTTGTGAGTGCAAGTACATATGCAGTAGCTGCATAATTCTTGTGATGAATTGAAACTTGTACATGCTCTTATAGTCTTTTGCTCAAATCTGATACATGTTGGCTGCATTCCTTGATCGAACAATTACATTGAGTTTGGGAACATAAGCATCTCTGTTTCTTGGCCTGTTGTCAGATTGGGATATTTTTTCAGTGTTATATTTTCTAATCTTGTGCAGTATACATCCTTACTTATTGCCTTATTTTTCTAGCTGCAAATTTTGCAAAATTTTGTATGCTTTTTGATTTAAATTGTCAATATGCAGACTGCACAATACATAGCATTTTATGACACTGCATGATCTGTACTGTAAATATCTGTAAATATGGTCCACTATCTTCATGGTTAATTATTTTGGATTCATAGTTTATAATGCACCTTTCTCTTTAGTCCCACCAATTCAAAGCAATGATCTTATCAAATTTATTTAGTTAAACTTTTCCTCATAATTTTACTTTGGTGTGTCTCTTGAATGGTGCACAAGTTCTGAAATTTTTCTGAAAATTTGTGTAATTCCCCTCATTACCCCTTCATGCAGTGAACTTTTGTAGTTGATGATTACGGATTCTGACCCAGCAGCTGACGCGCGCCCAAGAAGATGAGGACATTTGAAGAATTTCCCCCAACTTTACCTCTTATTTTACTACTTTGTTTCTGTTTAAATTTGCTTCATTTTGAGTTTGTAATTATTTCATTTGGAATTCTATTTTAGAATAATGTGTTTTATTTTGCAAGTACATAGAATAGACAATTGTGTTTTGCCACTACTCTGCATAATAAACATTTTTATGTTTTTCTGATTTGTGCAGCCAGTGGTAGTTGAAATTCTGCTATACTGAATACTCTAAATTTACAAGGGAGTTCCTTTCTATTTTTCATAATCACTTAATTTTTGCACCTTCCGTTTTTTTGTTCTAACTAGAAAATTGTCCTTGTATTATATACATCACTCCTTGCATATAGTAACTTCCCGCATCACTTTTGCACAACTTCCACAGTTTACAATTTCACAAACACATTTCAATATTGCTGGACATCATTTTGACTTAAATTCCATAAATTTACCATGTTAGCAATTGAGCCCAAATATCATTACCGAGAGCATGCTTGCTGTAATTGTCATTTTCTTTCCATGATTTGTCATTTTTCTTTGTCCTCTTCCCATGCATTCATGTTTTAAAATGATTGAGGCCATTATTTTCTTTAGCTATTTTTAACCAAAATGTCATCCATTCATTCAACCCTTGTTAGCCTTTTTGAGCTTAGCCAACATTTTTCTCTCACCTTTACACCAGCACCTACCATGCCCAAGCACCTATCCCTCCTTATAACTTAAAAAGTATGAGCACTAATTTGGATAACTTAGCAAATTCTAAATTTGGGGTTTCTATTAGAAATTGCTTGAGGACAAGCAATCCTTTTAAGTTTAGGGTTAAGAAATTGTACATGGGTGTATAATTGTATATGTTGAGAGAGCTATTGTGGTCAGATACTGCAGAATAAATATTATTATTGAGTATCACTCAATCTAAAAGAGAGAGAGAGAGAGAATGAAAAGAAAGAAAAATCCTAAGAGAAACTCAAGCTCTGCAGTAGTACTGTAAATAAGAGTTGAAAAATGTCAAATGAGGGAGTGCAAGTAATTCTTCGAATTCTTAGATTTTCTAAGTTATCCCTCATTCTTTTTCTAATGTCAAATGAGGGAGTGCAAGTACTGAGATAGGATTGATTCTGCTCAACTATCACCTCGCTCAAGCGAGCTGAAGATTTCGCCCAGGCGAGCTGCATCGTCTAAGCGAGAACTCACAAGAGAAATACCGTCCTCTCTGGCCACTATCTCACTCAGACGAGATGGAGCTCACCCAAGTGAGCATATCAGAAAATATGGGGAAATATCATTGTCTGCATATCTCGCTCAGGCGAGAATCACGTCGCTCAAGCGAGATTGCATTGCTCAAGCGAGTTGTTTCTCGCTAAAGCGAGAATGCGCGGGGCTGAGGGGTATTTAAGAAATTTTCAGCATGAAAACTCATTTCATTTCTGAAAACTTATGTTCCTTTCCCATTCTCTCTGAATTCTCTCTTCTTATATCATAGATACTTAGAAACTCTGGAACTTAACCGAATCCGAGCTCAGACTTCAACTCCACGAAATCATTGAACTACTTTGGACTGTGAATCAATTTTCTTTCGCTTTCTCATCACTAAACTAGTTTTCTAAGGTAAGGAGAGCTCTATCTTATTACTAAGAACTACTGTCCCTATATCTATGAAAAGGTTTGAAATGAGTATGTGTTGAATGATAACATGTGTTTGTGATGTTTGGAATATGTTTTGAAATGATTAGTGATAAGTATGATCCTTATTTTGAATATGTACATATGCATGAATATGGTGGACTGAGTCCGAGGGAACTAGCTCTCGGCAATGATTAAAAAATATATGTTGGACTGATGAACTATAGAAAGATGAGATAGAAATATGGAAAGGGAAAAGAAATGAGAAAGGATTATGATAAGGACAAGTATAGATAGTTCAGAGGTATACTGGAGTGTAGAAGATAGAGAAGACTGAGAAGTTTTAGGGAAATGAGGGTGGTGAATGTTCCTCTTAAATTCCGCAACACAAATGAGAGTAGGAACACCACAGGCCTCACACTCATTTCCTGACAAATACTCCTGACCATACTTTTGCTAAAAGGGGCTGGGTCGGCACACGTTGTATCTGTGTAGCTGTGGCTATCCAGCAACTATCTATGCTAAGGAAGACCTCGAGGGATCCTAAGGGCAGTGGAATTGAGCATTGAAAGGATCAGTAATAATGAACCTAAATTGAATGCTTAATTAATATGGTTATATGATGCTGGGTTGAACTCTTGTTTGTATTATTGAACTCTTTAAGTATGTATGCTTAGTAATGAATATAGAGACTCATCCTTATGTAAACGTTTCAGCGAACCCAGATGACAGCACCCACCGAAGGGATTAGACTAGTAGAAAGTTCTGTAACTAATAGATTAAATTATGTATTTAATGAGTACTAGAGACTTAGTTTCTTTAGAATTATTGTATATGACAGTAATGTATCTAGTGAGATTATTATGATGGAAATAGAATTAGCTTTTAGCATTCCTTTTGATTTTCCTGTAAGTAGAATTTATCATATCCTCTGTATTTATATCTTTCCTGGTACCGTAAGGACCCCAGCAGCAGTGACATATCTGGTCACGTATCACGACCATGATCACCTTGGGAGACAATCGTGATAGACATTCGAGTAAATCACGGGTACTCAGGTCACTGCAAATTCGGGTCATCTGTATCTCGGATCAGATGACGATCTGAATTCTAAGGATATAGCAATGATAGAGGGTTGGCACGGGGATGATTAGTGCCACTTGGTCATGTGATGGACAGGCTGCTCATTAGGACTTATATTATTTTGAGTATTTGTAAATATTAGCAAATAGTCCTAATGTATTTTGGTAACTTTTATGAATAATTATAAATATTGATATATTTTTTCTTATTATGAGAACAATGTAGAATCATGTTATTTTGAAGTTTTTCTTAAATTTGGTTTAATTACTATTGTTTTATTATTCAAGCTCTTGTAATTGTAAGAAAAAGTAAACAGAATATATGATTATTATGTTATTATATTCGCTCGATAATATAACTTAATTTAATTTTCCAATTTATTTCGAACTTGTACTATTATTATGATAATTAAAATTAAGGGTGTTACACCAAGAACCTAAAGAGTCCAAAGTAACTAAAAGAAGTAGATCTATAGGGGCTGATTCTAAAATACAAAAAGAAATTCCCCCTTCAACCCCAACTTTAGCAAGTCAATCTACACACTAGTGTGGCTAATGGGCATGCTCAAGTAATTACTAAAATGATGGGTCTGATTGAAACCTAAACAAGAACAAATATCCTGTACTAGAATAGGATCACAAATTTAGAAAAGAAAATAGAGGATTTTGCCTGGTTAACTGTTAAACTAGAAGCTGCAGAGAAAGTATTAAGAGCATTTCTAATCACTTCAACATTGGACCTATCAGTTTTAACAACTAAAGTTATATCATCAGCAAAAAAGAGGTGGGAGACCCTAGGGCCTTGATTGCTGAAAGAGAAAAGGGTGCAACTACCAGCAGTAACAAGATCCTAGATTAAATGCCCTAATCGCTCCAAGCAAAGAACAAAAATATAGGGAGATATAGGATCTCCCTGTCTAATTGATAAATTCATATTTTTTTAGTATTTTACCTTACTTTTAATACATTTGATATAGAAAACATGATGGAGAAAGCTGAAAAACTCATAAAAATAATAAAATTGTTCAAGTCTTTTCTAAATAGTTAGTTGTTTAAATTTTGTGAATTTTCTGTGTAAAAATTACTGATTAGAACATATTTTGTAGGAAATTATGAGCTAAGTTCATAAGGCTGGAGGATCAAGAGAAAAATAGAAGAAAAGTAGCAATTTTGGAGACAAGGAACAAAGATTGATGAAGATAGCTATTAGGCGTGATCACTATTTTAAAGAAAAGTGATCATTCCAAAGCCTAAATTCAAGGATTTACCTGTGCGTTACCACTTTTTCTTACAATAGTAACCACTCCCATGAAGAGTGATTCTGCATTATCACTATTTCTTATAATAGTGATCATTCCAGAGCTGGGTAAGAAGAACAAAGTGATCACGCGCAGCATTTAAAGGCAAAACTAGCTGCGCGTTACCACTTTTACAGAAAATAGTGATTGTTCCAGAGAGCTTTTCAACAAAACTAGTTGAGTGTTACCAATTTTTACCACTTTTTCAGAAAATAGTGATTGTTCCATAGAGCTTTTCAACAAAACTAGTTGCGTGTTACCACTTTTTCAGAAAATAGTAATTGTTCTAGAGAGCGCTTTAACAGAATAGGATGCGCGTGACTCCGATTTTGTACAATAGTGAACACGCGCATGCCATTAGGAGCAATTAACCTCTGCATTGCTACTTTTATTAAAAAAAAAAAAGTAATTGTTCTAGTCATAAAGGTTACCAAAAAGGCCTCTTTGTGGTTATTTATTAAAAAATAGTAATCACGCCAGAAAAGCGGGAAATTCTATAAATATGCGTTAGCTCAAACTTTTTGTATCTTTTGTTCATTTTTTATTTTCATTTCATTTTCTTATCTTGAGAGAGTCTGAGAGAGAGATTGGGAAGAACACCAAGCTTCACATCTTGAGGAATCAGATTGAAGATTGGATTGAAGATGATTCTTTTCTCATCTCCTTCTTCTTTTTCTTTCTCTTTTCATTTTGTAATGGCTGTCTAAACTCTTTGTAGTTAGGGATTTATGGATCTGAAATGGAAGTGTTGAATTGATTTTGGATCTGAACTTTGAGTATTTGATTGGATTGAGTAGTTGATTCTATTAATCAAGTAGTTGTTGAATGAAAAATCGATTTACTAAACACAGAGAAGCTTTTATCAATGGAAGTTGAAATTGTTTCTCAGATCTGAATTAACTACCAAGATTATTGATTTCTTAGGGTTAAGTCATCTTAATCTTGCAATCTTTTGGTTTCTAATGCTTAATACAACATTTAATTGAATCAGATCTAAGGAATTAGGATGATTGAATTGAATGTTAGAGTCATTGCGTTAAGGAATTAACCTTTGATTACTAAATCATAAAATTGATTGTCATTCAATCCAAATGCTTGAAAGTTAAGAACTTGATTGAATTACCACTAAAGTTTTGGTGAAATAAACTCCTAACTATGTTTCATACATCTGTTTCAATACACAAATTCGTAGCTTTTGCTCTGTTACGTTTTTTTGAATTTTGTACTTGTTAATTTGCTTTCAAATATTACAAACTCCAATTTACT